CAGCCTTTACAATGCACGATTACCATGACAACCAGGAGATATTCGCATCCTATGTTAGAAAAAAAAGCTTGGAAATTTTGTTGGCCTTTTTGTAGGGAGTGCGCTTCCAACCTGCTGGCTTAAAAATAGCAATCGAAACCTTAAAGGAGAAGTGCAGGGAGAATAAAATATACTCTCCCTAATACTTAGAGTAGTCATAGGACACTGCAGCTGTCACATGCTGGCTTTAAAACTGAGAGGTGACCAATCACTTGACATGACACTGATCAGTCAGCTCTCGGTCTGTTCTCCCAGTGGAGAGCAGAAATTATCAGTCACTGCCCCCGCAAGGATTCCCTCTTCTGCTCTTCCACCACTGGCTGAAGCCGCAGACATGATTCTCTCAGCCACGTGCAGAGAAGTTGGTGGATCCTGACACTGTTGCTGGGATCCTTTTTGGCTGGTGTAACAGGCGTAAGCCCACGATCTGCTGACTTTGGGTCACTGGAGTAGTTTAGTAAATGTTCTGCTGTCACCCAAAAGATAAGTAAAGCCAAAAACCAATGGTTTGGCTTTATTTCTCTTTTAAAGTTAATCTGTCTCCAAGCCAGTAGCACTTGGACATATAACAGTTACCCAATTAGATAAAGCAACATGTTTTTGCCAAGTCTTATCAGTGTCGATATTAAATCCTACAGTGTAAGAATACATTTATGTGCAATTTTGGATAATGTTTTTTCAAAAATAAATTTTCTATCATTCAAAGGTTTGTCTGCAGTGTTGACTTTCCCATCTGTCACCTAACTCCCTTTTACATCCTGTCCTATAAAAAGTACTTTTCCAAAACAGCACACATCAGATTATGTAGAGAAGTGTTGGTGATGTCTCCCTCCAAAAATTCTAGCTACATTACTGTCCTGCTGATTCTATACCTTCAGTGCTTTAAGGTAATAACCTGGAATCAACACGCACAGCAGAAGTTCTGTCTACTTGCTACATGCTTCCAGGTCGGTGGCTTGCAAAGTATTAGGGCCCATTCACACCACATCCAGATCATCTCCAGACCAGATTGTTTCTGAACCCAACATGCATTCTCATGTATCCCTATGCTATTTCTGGCCTCTGTTCAGACCAATGCAGTCTTTTCCAGACCAGACAAAAACTGCATGTCTCATTTTGTGTGGTCTGGAATGCTCTGGATTTGCGGGTAGGTTCACACCATTTTCCAGACCAGATCTGATCCAGAAAATGGTGTGAACCTGCCCTTATAGCCAGACAGAGCCAAGCGACTAAAGAGGTCAGCAATGGTAGTCTTTATATTTCAGTAAGCAATTACTAGGAGTTTTTATTTTTTGGCAGAGAAGATTTGCAAAGTCTGTTTTTATTAATAAATGTCTTTCCCTGGCTCCTAACAGTTTTTTCTATTTCTGTGAGCACTGCACGGCGCATGTGCAGTTCTGTGTACAGTTCCAACTCATTTCCAGAGCCTGTAAGAAGCAGAGAATGGAACCGGTTGGCAAGCCTGATGTACTTCCTGTGCTCATGCACACCCGTTACATCATTGTTGGCTGCTCTGTGGTCAAATAGAGCATAGTATGACCTGGAAGCAGCAGCGGAGCAGATAGTGAGGGGCAGAGAAGTGACTGGAGCCTAGGTCTTTCATCACTGGAGGGGGACACTGTATGTTATGTGTGCCCACCCCCCATCCAGCGTACTTCTGCTTGAGAACTACAGGAATACAACCCATCCTTTATTATATATGGCTGCTACATCTGTGTTTATGGCCTCTGTCCTCCACATGTGTATTTTTTTCTTAATAAGGTTATTTTATGTGTTCATTAAAAAATACTAAATGAATGTGTTTTAAAATAGTGCTAGCATATACAGTACTGTGCACCGCTACAAGCTCACTCCTGTAATGTACCTCAATCTCAATACAAATGAGTAAACTAAATGTGAGATTGTAGTCCATAACAGGAGTGAGCTTGGAGCAGTGGCTACTTTACAACACACACAGGGCCCATTAATGAAGCCAGCTTCATGCTTCCTCATGACGAAGGAGCAGGGAGCTGGCCTCCCGGCCAATCAGGAAAACAGGCGCCGCAGCATTACATGCGCCCGGCTTCCTGATTGGCCAGAAAGCCCGCTCCATGCTTTCTCGTCACTCAGTGACGGGAAGCATGGAGACGGCTTCACTGCTAATTGGGAAGCTGGGTGGCGAGTGTAATGGCCTATGGTGAATGCTGGAGGAGTGCATGAATATTCAGGGATTTGCCATGCACTCTGTCCGCCCCCCGGGCTTAGCATGTACAAGGTTGGAAAAGCTGACTAGGCCTCAAGCCTAGAGGAGGTCGCATGTGGACCCATGTGGGGCTTTTGAACTCGCATGTGGACCCAGGTGGGGTCTTGGAACTATCTGGGAGGAGAACCAGAGGAGAACTATGAATCTTGAAGGTGCCTGGAGATTGCAAGAACCTCAGGAACAAGTCTAGTATCTCTCCTAGGGAAGATCTCATGCACATCCCTATTCCGTTATTGTTCTACTGCACAGTGTCAGTTCCTGTTCTACTAAGTATTTCTGCACTGCTGAAGCCTAAAATGGATTGGCGGGTCTGGAGTCTGTGTATGTTGGCCATGGCTGTCTGAAGCCCTATATCCTCTCTCGCAGTTTTGCAGTTTCGTAATAAAGCCTTAAAAAAAAAAAGTCCTTAAAGTGACTGGCGCCTAATCTGTTGATCCCATGTCCCTTCACTAAGGATCTACCTCTGAGAGTGAAATGTCAGCACTCCCTACCCTTTGGTGGTCCACCTCAGGCCTCTGGGGGTC